AAGTACTGATTTCTCCTTCACGGGGGAGCCCACCTCACAGTTTCAGGTAGACGTTAAAACTTTCTACCAACGCCCGTTGCTTCGGGAAGATCGAGGAGAGAAGATGTGGTTAGTGTTTCTTCCGTCTCTGTTTTAAAAACAATTACATTAATGATCATGGATATTATTTTCTGAATAATTATTTGGGGGATTGTATGCCTAAGTTTGCCAAGTGTGGCTTGAACACTTGTATTACTGTTTCCGCTGCTTTAATGAATATTTTACATTATGTTTGTTTATGGATGTACTACGTGTGAATGATATTCAAGACGTTTAGTATAGTATGGATGTGTTGGACTGCGGTTGACTATTCGTACTGTACGGCGGGTTGTTGACGTGACCGGGTAGGTCCGGGGCGTGACAATTTAATTAGTATCAGAGCCTTAGCCCGTAAACATCATAATGAAGTCTCAAAATTCTTTTTTGAAAATTCATTTGAAAACCATGAGAATAAGAAATTTTGTTCTTATAGAACTTTTGGTACTTGAGTTTCAATATCTCTAATTGTTAAGATGTTACCCTTAACAATTGGTATGACGGTGATTTGAGCCAAAGGATGTCTTTAAGTACCTATCCGTCAATTGACATTTGATACGAGTCTAATGACTCATTCTCAATTTCTTTCAAAAATGGAATGTAGCAGTAAAGTTACTCGAAGGAACCCGACTGGCCAGGCATCAGGAAGATCCCAACATGGCAGTCGAGGGGCATCGAGGGTGTCCAGGGGATAGGGCCGTGGAGGCCAATCGAAGACCGTGGGTGACGGTCATGTAGAAACTATTGATGAACTTTACGATTCCAAGGAGGACTCAACTTACCAACCGGGAACTGAGTCGGTTGAGACCCCATATGATGGGAAAGATGAAGACGTCAGTGAGGAGAGCGATGATAATGGCGCTCTAGAAAGAATGGAGGAACTACTCTGACAATACCAACAAGACCGTCAAAAGCGTTGGACAAGGCGTGCTTTGGGAGGGGTTCCAAGGACAGAGCCGTGTGAGTCCTAGGGAGCATGTAGAGTCCTGAGGAGGTCGAGGTGCCAATGTCCCAATAATAAGGATCTCAAAGTACCTCAAAGAAGCGAGGGATTTGGGATGCAAACCGTTCGATGGAACAAAGGACATTTACGTAGGGCTGAATGGATCAAAAGATTCAATGAAGCGACCCTTGACATGTAGCTGCCGCCCAACATGAAGATGAGAGTGGCAACGAGGTTGCTAGAAGGAATGTCGTCCACGTGGTGGGACGAAGTCAATGGGAAGTATGGCGAGACTGTAACTTGGGAGAATTTCCAGCAAGAATTTTTCGGCAAATACTATTCCGATTATGACGTTAATTTGAAGAGGAGAGAGTACACCAACTTGACCCAAAGAGGCAAGTATACAGTGAGACAGCTTGAGCACAAGTTCAGAGAACTTGTTGAGTTCATACCGGAGTATTCTTGAGATGAGAACGGGATGGTCAACCATTTCTGGGATTCTTTGGACTTAGACGTGCGTGAGAGGGCAACACAATTGCCTAACATGACGTTTAGTCAAATGGTTGAGCAAGGCTTGAAGGGAGAAAAGAAGTGGGAGGAAAGAAAGATGAAAAACGCTCAAGAGGCGAAGAAGAGGAAATGGGAAAACCAGGGCTCCCAAGGTTTTAACAAAAAGGGGAACTATGGGGGAGGAGGATCGTTCAGAGTACGGGTGAGCATTCGGTCGATCGATCAAATAACCGACCGATAACCGAATAACCGACCAACTTTTTTTTGCTCCAATAACCAACCGAAACCGACCGATAATGTAACACCCTAGCCCCGCAGGACCCAAGGTAGTTACTCCAGACCTTTAGTACTGTCCTCACAATCCACCACGAGCCTTTACCACGCACTTTGTCCTCATTCATGCACGCGCTGAGAAACTTCCCATGGGGTAACCCATCTCAAGATTACTCTCGTAGAAGAACGCTTAACTTTGGAGTTCTTGGGTGATGAGCTCCCTTAAAAGGAGATGCACCTATGTTGGTATGAGTAGTACTATTAATCCTTTTATAATTGACTTTAATTTATTGCTCTTCACATAAAAACTATAATTAACCTTTTATTTATGCTATTGAAAACAATATTAATTTTCAATGTTTAGCAATTTTTTCACATTGACTCACTTTTGCATTATCAGACATGTAACCTAAGGTGGTATGAGTTTTGATATATGTCTAGACACTATGGGGGCGTTTGGTAGCAGGGATGGATTTAGGGGGGGGGGGGGCGACCGCCCCCCTTGGACATTCAATTTTTTTTACCATATATGTAATATTTTCATAAAACTTTCATAATTTAATTATATTCGCCCCTCCTAGCTTTTAATTTTCAAAAACAGTACGAGTATATAGTCTTACATAATGTAATACTTAATTGGAGATTTAAAAGAAACATCTAAAATAATTTACATAACTTAAACAAATAAACAATAGAGTAACTCGTTATTTAAGATTTAGGATACTTATTATATAAGAATTCCTAGTTTTGTAATGTTTAATTATCTTTATTAGATAACAAGTACATGATTTTGTAAAACATATATCAAACAATATTAAATACCAGACACACTAATTACACAATTTTTAGATTACATAATTCATTTACTTCTTTCTTTCTAAAAATAATTTACTGCATGGATGATAAACTTTAAATTATTATAGAATTAATAAAAATATTAAAATATAATATGCACCATATATGTGTGTGTGTGTATGTGGTGCATATTATTCTAAAAATAACAATCTCATACATACTAGTATACTACTATTGTAATATTAAGAAAACTTCTCATGAGTCATGACTCACGAACACCCTCCTTGGTGGACAAAAATTACAATTCAATAACCGATTCATGAGGTTAAACAATGTAGAAGTTATTAAAAATGTATTGGTTGATGTCTTTGTCATCGTCTAAACTTAGAATGTAATAGATTTAAATGCCGGTTCGGGATGTGCAAGTATTAATGTCATTTTTTGAATAAAAATAGTCGCACAGCCCTACAGTAGCAAAAAAATTTCGCCCCGCTACACTAGGGGAAAAAATTTCACCCCGCTACACTAACAAAAAAAAAAATTCACCCCCTGCACTAACGAAAAATTTCGCCCCCTTGACTCAAAATCCTGGATCCGTCCCTGTTTGGTAGTTTGCACATTAAAACTTTGCATGTAAAATGATTGCATGTAAAGTTTAGGGCATGTAAAATTGTTTGCATGTAAAATAAAGATACATCGTTTGGTTACTTATGTAATCTATTTTTAAATGACACGCAAAATCTTTACAACGTTTGATCATAAAATAACTTTACACGTAAAATATTTATAAAAGACTACATGACTACTCCGTGCGTGTGATAGCACAAATTCCAGGCTCCAACAGCATGGTACTTGCAGAATGGTTCTCTGGGTAACTATTTCAAACCAAATCACAAGATGGAAAATTATATTACTAATTTTTGCTTCCACACATGTAAAAAACAAATGTGAAATACGTAGTAGCAGTTTATATGAATTCTAAGCACGATGTAGACATCACTAATTTAAAAGGTTTAAATTGAGAATTATTTTATTGTCATCGTTTCTACTACCAAAACCAAAACAGTAACACTTTGAAGGAATTTAGAAGGATTAAATAGAAACTTAATATTGTGTTAATAAAACTACATAATAAAAAATTCATAGAAAGTCACTAAAACTAGATTTCTCTATTCAAGACAGCTCGAACATAAATCAACTTTGCCTCTTCATCTGGCATGAGTAAGAAAGAATCTGTTTTTCCTTTGCTAGATGATATAATTCCAAATGCACGTATCGCCTGCTCCTTACTTAAATCTGGCAAATTCATTATCACATGTAGTATATGTGGCTTAACATCATCAGCAGCATTAAATCGATCAAAAAATGTTGTCACTTTCTCAAACTGCTTGTTTGATGTAACACACATTTCGAGAACTGTTTCAATTTTTTTTGGAACACTTCAGCATGTTTATCAAACTCATTCTTCTTTGACTTTTTTGATGGCTCCTCAAATTCCTTCTTGATGGAATACCAAGAGTCCTCTTCTTATTTCAGCTAATATCGGGCGATGAAAAAATATCATCATTCATAGCATCGAGATCCACAGCTACACCAAAAAAATCATCATGGACAACACTTTTTGGAACATGAGCTCCTTCTTGAGGTGCACTTTCTTTTCCTAAACTAGTCACCATTTCAGTTGGAGACTCACACTTATCCCCAGTTGCCCATTCAGCGCCAAATATTATTGCCAGGTCATCAAAATAAGGGAATGACTTGTGTCTAAGATGAACTGACTCTTTATGTCCCTAGAATGACAATTTTGATTGAAAAATAAGAATAAAGGTCACAAATAACGTATAACCATATTAAACACGTGCAATAATTTGAATATAATACCTTAATCCAAGAAGCCCAAACCTCATCATCACAATTAACCATTTTGGTTTCCTCATTCTAGCCAAAACCTGAAGCACCCCTCATCATAGAGAATTCCTTATATTGAGTTTTTAAATGTCTTAACCTATTTTTTATATTTGGATCTCCCAAAATATGACAACCAGGGATTTTTGTAGCCATCCACTTCTGAAGCTGCTGATAGAAACCGGTTTTGAATCCATTTTCAGCTTTCCAACCTTGGTTGATCAATTCCAGACAACCCTCAATAAGTATTTTGTCTTCATGAGGAGACCATTGATGATTATTACGCTTCACTTTTGAACTCGGGGGTGTGATAGTACAATCTTCCATTGTAGACTGTATAACACAAACATTAAGAACACACAAAAAGGATGGTGAAATATGCAATCTTGCTTTATATGATGAGTTAATATAAAAAAAAAGTACAAAAACACATCATAAAAAAACAATCATTTAGATCACTAGTATTTTATTATAAATAACAACAAAGAGTAACAGCAGCTCCTCCACAAAGTGCAAAAAGAGAGCACATATTTTCTTATAAAAAAATAAGATGATTCTTAACAAATAAAAACATATAAAACCACTAATATGATTATTAATTCCTATTAGCTCGACGCTCGTTCCATATTTCTTGTGCTAAGTTATCTCTAAATGCAGTCCAAGCTGCAGATTGCTCAATATCTTGTATGCTTGGGGCATTGAACAATGAGTCAGAATCAACATAATCTTCTGGCACCTTATCCTCAAGCGGATCCTTTCGCATCTCCCTTCTTATATGATTGTGAAGTAAAGCACAAGCAGTTATGACTCTACAATATGTCTTCACAGGGTAGCAAAATCTACTACAAAGAATTGTCCATCTCATTTTTAATAATCCAAAGATCTCTCAATGACATTACGTGCACATGAATGCTTGTAATTAAACAATTCTTCTTTTGTTCTAGGATAATTCTGTTGACTCCATTCTTTTATATGACACCGTTGGCCTCTATATGGAGCTAAAAACCCGTCTGCATTGCTGTATCCGGCATCACATAGATAGTAGCAACCTTGAGGAACTACAAAGCCATTTGGTCTAGAAATTGCACTTCTTAATACCCTTGCATCAGCAGCAGAACCTTCCCACCCAGGTAATATGTAAATAAAATGTAAATCCCGAGAACAAACTCCAAGTACATTTGTTGCTAAATCACCCTTCCTTGTCCTATACTTAGGCTTTTCTTGTTCAGGGACATTTATCTGAATATAAGTTCCGTCTAGCGCTCCCAGACAATTCTACATACTAAAATAAAATAGCAGTGCTTTGTTAGTAATTGACTTATTTAACCATTATTTATTTTGTGGTAAGTTCCAAGAAAATAGTGTAAAATTATTACCTTAAACCATTTCGAAGGATGTTCTTTACAATTTTGAGTCACCGGTTTAGGCTTCTTAAGCAAAACTTCATGCAGTCTCAAGATAGCAAGCAATACTTTATTAAAGTGTCTGCTTATTGTTTCACCGCTACGCACAAATTCTCTTTTGGCCACTCTAACTTTAGTATGATGAGCGAGTATATAGAGGAATGAAGCAAGCATTTCCTCAACGGTTGAGTTCTTTGTTGATCTTAACATGCCAATACTTTCAACCATGTCACACAGCACGTAAAACGCTCTCCTATCCATCCTAATGTTATCTCCACATTCTATATCGTCTTCCCAAATCATTTTTCTAAAATTAACACGTCTAATTTCATATCTCTCATAAGCACTTCCTTTTTGACATCTTTTCCTCTTCCTTATAATAAAAGTGTCTTTATAATATTCTAACATCGCAAGCACAATGAGTAGGAAGTTTCTAAAATTTAACGCAATAACATAAGCCGCCATGCACATTGTAATTTCGTCTTGTTCTGAGCAGTCCATGGTCCACACTAACACCAAAAGAAATATAACTCCATTTAATCAGTATATAATACATCTTTTTTATAAAACAAGGGTCCATACTGCACTAGCTTCTTTCACCAACTAAATTGAGGGGTTTGATGGGTTTCAAACTTAAGAGAACAACTTTCAAATTGGAAGCTTTTGTTTTAAACGGGCTGTGAAATATCTTTAGAAATGATTATATGGCTATGATTATATGGCTTGACTGAAAATTTCAATTTTTAACTTACATATTGAACAAATTATCAAATAATATCACATCATAACCGCAATAACTTGAGGAATACTTAGTATGGGCTCTTTCTGAACACAAAGTATAACTTGGAACTACAACCAAAACAAAATAATACGTATAAAGCAAGCCAATAAAAAAAAATTACACAACCAGAAATTACCATCGTAATCACAGAAAAGTTGTTTCAATATAGAATAAAACTCAGAATATTTAATGAATCCAATGACAGAGCAAACCAAGCACACATAACTACAAAACAGGGTAAATACATACATATATATTCGATTATTGGATAGTGTATTTGAGTAATGAAACAGTTGCTTAAAACTAAACAATGGCCGCATATAATACAATTCAAACTCATCAAATCTCAAAATACAATTCAACCCTTAAATCCATTCTTCGAATATACGTATATATAGAATAAATCAAAGTTCATTAAAAAGAATCAAGGTGTAGAAACTAACCTCTTGGTTAAACTGTAGTCACTAACGCAGATGGAGATGATAATCGATGATATGGTTTGACGATTTTTGTTATCTTAAATAGGAGAAAAGATGAGGTTCTTGCCGCCAAGATTTTTTGCTTTGCCGCCAGGGTTTTCAAAGTCCGCCTAGATTGAAATCGTGAATTTCAATGCTCCGTATAAGTATTCACTCTCGTAAACTAGTTTACCACCCTCCCTCCATGTAAAATATTTTACATGGTACAGTGTAAAATATTATTAAAAAAGTGTCTTACAGTTTACATTAAAAAATTAAAACAAACAGTGTAAAATGTTTACATCCCCACACTTTACACGCAAAATGTTTACGTTACGCCGTAACAAACGAGCCCTATAAGTTATAAGTTACAAGGGGTTGCACCACCACATCGTGTCAGTTCGTTTGGTCTATTCGGGTATTCATCACATTTCTAAACACTATTACTAGCTCTTGTTTGTAAGGATTTAATGCCAAATGTCAGATTTTTTTTTTGCCAGGACATGTTAGATAAGTACGTAGGTGAAACTTCTCCTTGTCTTTTTTAGTTGCAGCTTGTGGTATATCAAAATAGTTTTACATATCAACTTATTTTGTAGACTGAAATGGCTCCACTAAAGCTTTAAAATGTTTTTGTGGAATTGCCTCTCATGAATTATCAAGCATTTGAGTAGCACATCTGCTCTAATTAATCTATGTATTCTTTTAATTTGCCGATGCCATAACTTTGAGCAATTAGCACAAGGAATTTGAAACGATGAACACTGATTTTTTAGTGTTTCTATTGAAAAATAAGGTAAGTCTACCTTTATTTCTATTATACTTATGTACCGGTGTATTATTATTATCATTATAAATTGTATTTATTATCTTTGCGATCCTACTTGACCGAAATTTTTGTACGAATGTTTGAGCATATTTTGGTGGTGTGCTAGCATATCTTATCATGTTGGTCTCATGAAACAAACTCATGAAAAAGTACTCATATAATGAGTACTAAGTAGAAAAAACTAATAAGATAAAGAGTACTCATAAAAAGAGTACTAAGTAGAAAAAACTAATAAGATAAAGAACAGGGGAGTGGGGATGAAGCAAGCACATGACCTTAATCTTAAATTATGAGTCAATTTCTTTAGAAATTTGAGGAAAGAATAAAAGAGGCTATGGTTACACCTGGATCATAACAACGGTCTGTCTTTCTTATTGAGTTAGCAGTTAGTAGCCAAATTAATAAATATTGTTCTATTGTGAAAGGTTTCACAAATGTTTTCAGAGATTATGGAAGTTGATTTTCTGATGTTTTATGAACCACATGAATAGGTGGTGACTCTAATGCTTCGCACTATCTAAAATCTGATCAATGATTTCAATTCTTATTTTACTATAACAATGCAGGGATGCGTGTAAGCAAGAAAGTTCTCACAATTGTTTTCATGATATTGTTTTTAACATTTTGGAATAAGAGTTTATCCTCTCCACAGAATCTCACAATGTTCTCATATCTGTTTTAGCTGAAAAGTATTCAAATAATGAGTACTAAGTAGAAGAAAACTAATAAGATAAAGAACAAGGGAGTGGGGATGAAGGAAGCACATTACCTCAATCTTTTCACAGATGACAATCAGAATTCATCTGTAAAGCCGAGTTCAGATTTCAGACGACAAGTTATTTGTCTATGCATTTATTTTTTTTCATTTTGATTTTTGTCAATCTTATTCTTTACATTTTTGTTGTCCTTTCCTCTACCTCTAGTCCTCAATCATACATTAGATCATTCGATATCTTGAGGGAAGGCACCCTAATCAGTGTTGGATTCCTATTATGAACGTTCATTAAGGGGTTTTATAACTTTATTCCTCACTAATTTCAAATCTGCTAATATTTTTTCCTACAGTTTACTTCAACCTTTCTTTCAATTATGGAATACGTTCGTCTCTTATTTAATCGGACCTGCTCCGCGCACCATCCAAGTTGCTCGGCGCACCAATTTTTTTGTAATAGGTGGACATGTATGTCCTTAATCATGCAGTCCGCTACTTCTAATGGTGCTAGGTGCACCACTACTTTTTCGTATTAAAGTCACTATCATAGAGTACGTATCTATGGAGCATCTCCCTGATGGGAAAAACAGCCCCAAACAATAACTAATAAAATGCGGAATTAATCTTCGTTTGGCTAAACTTTCCCCAACTTGAATGAACCTTTGAGGATGCAAACAAATAGGGTGTTCTTAATGCAATTAGAACACACACAACAGTGCTGCCACACACCAATATAATAAGCTAAAACAGTAAGTACACACAAAACAAAAACACTGGAATTTTAGCGTGGAAAACCCGTTAACTAGGGAAAAACCACGAGACCATTTTGGCCGCTTAAATCCACTATCATCATCAAAGGAGCAGTACAAAGTCTTCTCTAGATAATACTAGAGGCATACAAAATCATCATATCCTTGGAAGTAAGCACATCAATGTGTATGGAATTAAATAGAGCCAAGATAAGAAAAATATCACCAGAAAAATAGCTACTGTCCAAACCAACGAAACCAGACCTTCGGACCTCAAAACCAGATCTCCACCGTCCAGAACGTGGGCCCAGATGCTGTGTAGTTTCTGTCCAAAAATCACGACGATCCAACGGTTCAATCTCTGGAAAAAAACGGAAGTTTTCTGCTACTGCATGCTGAAAAACGATATGAGCACACTCAGCTCATGTTTTACGACTTGTGCTCACTTATCTGCTGCTCTCTTTCTGTCCTCATATTTGAGATATGTAGCTAACCCATATTTTATTATTAGCTCCCAAAAATAGAAAGTCAAAGAAGAATGTAAGGAATAAATGTATTTAGATTTTGATGATGCTAGGTTAATTAGAATATTAAAGTACCCCTTTTAGAAATCTTGTATTAGAATTTTCTTTGTATGTGTTAGCATAGTTGACTGGCTAGAGACCCTCTTGGACTTCCTGATCAGAGTTGCTACCAGAGCTGCTCTTCAGGGAAGCCATCAGAGCTGCCATCAGGACCAACCATCAGAGATGCTATCAGAGAATCTCATCAGACTAGGATGGGCACTTAGAAGATTTCGGTGTTACTTCCAACGGCCGTGAAACTAACGGGAAATGCCCTAACGGCTAGGAGCCACTCAACAGAACATGGTACTATTCATGCATTAAATGGTCAATTAATGTTGTTCGTACGTTGAGATATTTAAAGCTGATGATTGACCCTGCGGATATCCTTACGCCCTCAAAATAGCAAGTTGAAGGACCAACCGGTCAAATCAACTGTACAAGCATTAAATGAAGTTGTCTTCTAAACTCCAACGGGAAGACTGCTCCCAGTATATTAGATACACCCCGAAGAACTACAGGATAACTTTTGCTCTCACAAAATTCAAACCTTCAAGATATGGTGTTTGCACTGAAGATATGGAGGCATTATCTCTATAGGGAGACATGTCATATATACACTGACCACAAGAGCTTGAAGTATGTGTTCACTCAGAAAGAGTTGAACATGAGACAGAGACGGTGGATGGAGTTGATAAAACACTACCATCAAGTGATTAATTACCACCCCGGTAAGGCGAACATTGTAGCCAATGCCCTTAGTTAAAAGAGTTCGTCTGGGGCATTGTTAACTAGCTTGAGGGCATTTGAGAGCCCAATTGGAGATATCTAGTGATGGTGCCTTATTGGCAAGATTTGAGGTAAGACCTACCATACTTGATGAGATCAAGAAGGGTCAAGAAACTGACGAGGAACTTATGAAGGTCCGAGAACGCATGCTAGCGGGACCGATTGAGGATTTCAGGGAGAGAGACGATGGTCTCCTATTATTTCATCACCATGTGTGTGTACCATCAGATGATGATGGAAATAGCTGAGTACATCAATCAATGTCTTACTTGTCAACAAGTTAAGGCAGAACATCAGCATCCAGCTGGGTTATTACAACCACTTTCCATTCCTGAGTGGAAATGGGAGCACGTGACTATGAATTTTGTGGTAGGGCTACCACGGACGGTTAAGAACTATGATGCTGTATGGGTTGTTGTTAATAGGCTCACGAAGAGTGCACATTTCCTACCTATCAACACCACCTATGCACTTGAGAGATTAACCAAATTGCATGTGGATGAGATCGTGAGGCTACATGGGATTCCAATAACCATTGTATCTGACAGAGATCCACGATTCACATCACGATTTTAATTGAAGTCCCAAGAATCTATGTGGACAAAGTTGAAGTTTAGCACTGCTTTTCATCTGCAGAAGGATGGACAATCTGAGCGGGTCATACAGATTTGGGAGGATATGTTGAGGAGCTTGTGCATTGGAGTTCCAATGGAGTTGGGACAACCATTTAGCACTAGTGGAGTTTACCTACAACAATAGTTATCAGACGAGTATTGGCATGCCTCCATACGAGACATTGTATGGGATGAGATGTCATACACCTTTGTGCTGGGATGAGGTTGGCATGGCCAAGCTTGAGAGCACAGAATTGGTGGAGATCACTAAGTCAAAAAGTGAAGGTGATTTTTGAGAGGCTTAAGACGGCCGAGGATAGACAACAGAGCTATGCCGATAAGCGCCAAAGATCCTTGGAGTTTAAGGTGAGAGATGAGGTATTCTTGAAAGTTTCACCTTGGAAAGGAGTCATCCAATTTCAAACCCGAGGGAAACTTAACCCACGTGCGATACATAGGGCCATTTGAAATTCTTGAGAGAATTGGGGTTGTAGCTTACTAATTACAGTTGACTCTAGAATTGGAGAAGATACATAACGTGTTTCATGTGTCTAGTCTAAAGAAATATATGTCGGATCCGTCTCACGTACTAGAAAAACCACCCGTGGAAATACGTGAAGACTTGAACCACGTCATGCAACCGGTAAAAATACTTGATAGACAAGTAAAGAAGCTGAGGAGCAGGAAAGTTCTGATGATTAAAATCCTTTTGAAGAGTGACCGAGTTGAAGAAGAAACTTGGGAAACATAAGGCTTGATGAAGGAACAGTCTGCTTTTCTATTTGAGTAGCAATGTGAATTTCGGAGACGAAATTCTTGTGAGGGGGGGTGAACTTGTGACACCGCATCCGGATGTACTTGAATTTAAAATTCAACATGTATTTGAATTTACTAGTGAATAATAACGTGTAACAGAATGATATATTTAATTAATGAATGATTAATTAAATTATTTATCGGGTCTATAATATTGAGGATGGGCTACCAAATAATTAGTTGGGTCATCATAATAATTATAGAAGCACAATGAAATGTCAACTAATGTTGAGAAAATGGTTGGGCAATCCGAGTGCTATTTTGACCCAACCTGCCAAAAATAGCAATAATAATTGGGAGAGACTTTCTATACCCACTTGGGACTTTTTATACAAGTCTTGTAGACTCCAAATAGTTTAAATGAGACATCTAAACATGGGAGCTGCGAAATTATTGAGTGAAGAGATTGCTCAAGACAAACAAAACACTCCCAAGGGCCCTTATATATTCTTGTATGACCTTGGGTGTTGATTGGGAGGATGCTTCGCCCTTCATTCCACACCATACAAAGCACATATAGAGGGGATAGGAGGTCTGGAAACAGCTCACACGAACAACAACCTTGGAGGAAGGAAAGGAGCTAGGAAAATCCACAAGAAAGAGTTTGAGTTCAGGGTAAGAACTCTACCTATATTCTTTAACTAGTTTTGTGTTCATATGATTTTAAAAAATCATATGGTGGATTAAACATGAGGTTCTACACGTTTGAAAGTGTAGAATATTGTTATAAAGTGGTGGTATTGAACTTAGAAGGGTCGTGGAATTGATAGGAGTTGGAACTGTCAGAAATAGCCAAGAAAAAAGGCCGCCCGTATTACAGACCATGAACGCCGCCCGGCATTCACGAAAGCCACCTGGCTTTTAGCCTGCAGTCCAGTTTTTCACTTTCAATCGGCCTAGAATGGAGATTGATCGAGGGGCTTAGCAAAGGCAACTATTGTAGCACATCATAAGGTGAGGATGACTGACTATATTGCTTAGGCTAAAGGGTCAAATAGGCCCCTTTACCCTTCTGGATTGCTCAATTTTCCCCTCTGAATCCAAAAAAATTTCCAATTGACACCCTGAACTCGATAAAAAGATCCAAATTTCACTTTTACAGGTTTCAACCCGGTCACCCTGAACTCTTAATCTCTTACTTTATATATCAAATTTTTATCAAATTTGATTCAGGTGTTTGCGACTTTGTAAAGATTTTAATGTAGTTTCTGAATATATAATTTTTTTCTTCTAAAAATAATTTGAGTGCGGACAGAGATTCGTTTGCTTTATCGTCGGTCAAGCATCATAAAGCGCAACAGGAACATCAAATTGGGATGGAGGGAGTAGAAAATAATAAATAAAGTTTTAAATAAAATACGTGTTGAAAATATAAAATATATTAATATGAAATATTGATCATGAATTCAAAATAAAAAATTAAACATAAACTAAAAAAATTCTTTAACTCTATTTCCGTATTTTATAACTACCACATATATTTCATATAAGAAATAAACAATGTATTTTTACCAAATATATTTAAATTTTTATTTTATGTATTATATCTAATGGTTTGTAATATAACACAAATTTTAGGTTTTTGTTTGATAATTTATACAAAGCATTATGTTTAAATTATCCATTTGTATTTTTTCATTACATATTTTTTAATTTATTTAAAAATATAATAAAAATAAATATACAATTTTTATGTAACTTTTTTTTCGAAGTTACTAATTACACTTTTTTATATCTATAGTAATATAAAAGTTACTCATATATAAGAATTAAAATATAAAAATTGTAACTACATATTTATATTATTTATTGTAAATATATTGAAGT